CTGCATGTCAGTGGCACAGCCTGCCAAAGCCTCAGCTTTTCCTTCTGGAAGTAACTAGATTGTTGTGCCAAGTCCCAGCACCTGGCTCCCCACCACTCATCACCACCTGGGCCTGCCCCCTGCACCCTGCCTGGACCCTGGGCGGTGCGGCTGGGACCAGACATCCATCTGAGGAGAGCTGCAGCCAATCCTCCCAGTACCCAGCCTGGGCTGGGTCACCTTGGCTCCCAACTCACACCTGCTTTAGCCATCAAGGCTGGTGGCTCCAGCTTTCTCCATTCTGGCCACGTGGGTACTAGGACCTGCTGCTTGTGGACTTAGGCATGGGGGGCCCAAGGCGGTGGGAAGTGGGCTGAGAGAGAACCTAACCAAGACTTAACTTCTCTGACACTCTGCCACCCAGCGGGGGGGATGTCCCGGGAAAGGGTCTATCGAGGTACTACTCCCCACCCGCCCCCAGCCTGGCCTCCATGCTCCCAGGGGACCCCTGGCCCACCTTTTTGGAAAGATCAGCTCCTCCCTTCCTTGCCTGTTCCCCTTCCCTTCTGAGGGCCATGTCAGAGCTGAGGTGGTGGGGCTGAGGGCGGGGCCACCAGGAACCCGGGGCCTCTGGCTGTGGCCCTGCCCCCACCGGTTCCGCCCGCCCCTGCCCTCCGCCTCCTGCGCATTCCTCCCTGGCTGAGGTCAGCCCCTCTGGGATGGGGCAGCCCCCCCTAGCAGCCACATCACAGCTCTTCACTCACTCCTGTTTTCCTCATTGCCCAGCGGGGGGGGACGAAGGGGGGAGGCTATGGGTGGGGCCTCCCTCTCCGCTTCTTCTCCACAGCCTGGGGGAGGGGGCAGAACAGTGCCAGGAATGCTGCAAAAGCGGACTCCGGTGGCCCCTATGCTCATTAACATAATTTAACAATGTTACACTCCTCAGTGTGCTGTAGGGGGGCTCCAGATGCTCTGGCAGGTGTGTAGGGGGGTGCCCAGGGATCAACCCCCTAGTAGCCGCGGAGGGGCGGGGCTGAATCCTGACACCTCCGCTTCCCAGCTGTGTGTCCCTAGCGGGAACGGAACCTCTCAGATCGTTCTCTTCACTAGTCCTGCGGTTGTAAATGGGAGCCTGGGCAGGTCTGGCACATGAGGGGGGTGGGGGGTGCACAGGTATGTACTCTCTTCGCCACCTCCGCGATGGATATCCTGCAGCATCCAAGCCTGGCGGCCTCGAGGGAAACCCTTCCCTACCGCCTCTTCCAGTCGGGCTTGGTGGAGCCCTCCTCAGGCTCAGCTCCCCTCTCCTGTCCCCTTCCCTCCCCTGCCACTCCCCTACACCCTCTCCAGGGCCCCCAGCACAGTGACGCCCCTGATGCTCCACCTGAACCTCCTTCCCTCCTCTGCCCTTGGAGACCCCTTGATCTTCTCTCGAATCCCCTCTAGCAGTGCCCAAGCCCATGCCCCTCCTCCCACTGCAGCCTGACCCCTGACCCCTTTACCTTACCCCTGAAGCTGTGTCCCTAGGGTCTTTCTGCCACCTCCTACTCTGGAGGCTTCCCTTTTGGGGCTTGGGGGTTCCTGGCATTTACACCAGCCCTACCTAACTCAGCCCTGGCCTGCCCGCCAGTGCTCTAGCCACCCCACTGTCGGGAGGCAGCAGCTTTCTTCACCAGGACTTGGCTCGGGCTGTGTCCTCCAGCCCTTACGCCTACCACTCTGCCACCGGCTGGACTCTTCACCGTTCATTATCCATTTCTCCGTATCACTTTCTTCATGAAGCCCCAGATGCCTATAACACTAGGCTCAAGCCTCTGCAGGGCTCTGGGTTCCCCAGCAGCTGTCAACCCCGTCATGGGGGCCCCAGGACCCGGCAGAGGACGGGCAGGGGGCGGCAGGAGATCGAGTGCCTGCAGGAAGCCTTTCCATCTACCTGGGCCTGTTGTGCCTTGGAAGGGATGAGGGACTGATAGAGAAGGAACACCTCAGGCCTCTCCTTGACCCTGAACCAGCCCCTCAAGCTTTCACTTCCTCCACCCACGACAAGGTCAGAAAGCAGAGTCAGTGGCTTCCCATTGATGTCAAACTGATTTTTCTCGTAACCAAGATCACCTGTGGAGCTATAGCTCATGCGAGAAGAAAAACTAAGGCAGGGAGGAGAGAGAGAGACCTCTGCTCCCTGGGACACTGGTCCTTATCACTGGATGATTAACTGAGGAGCTGAGTTGCTGACAGGCATGGACACACTTGCTGTCACACATAGCCCAGCTGGTTTGAGGCCTTCCATGGGTTTGTAGCAGGGGCTAGCTGGTCCAAGGAGGTTTGAGGGAATGTACAACCCCATGGAAGGGATGAAGGCCCCTGGAATCTCTCTTCAGGACAACAGACACAGACAGGATTGGGGTCAGTTGTTTGGGAGTGGACCTGGACCCAGAACTCAGCCAAAAGAAGCTTCAGTTATGTTCTTGCCCTCTCCCTGAATCCCAGGATAACTTGGACCTGGCTGGCCATGCCACGAGCTGGTGTTTGCAATCAGAGTTTGGATCCTCCACCTTGGTGGCTGGCTTGGCACTTCGAGCCTCTGGGGGTGGCATGATTCTGAGGGGCTCTGAGGGAAATCGGAGGTTTTCCTGACATCAGGAGGACTCATGGAACTCCCCTGGAACATGGTGACAGCTTCCTCCAGGACTAGGCAATTCCTGCAGCCTCAGGGGCCCCAGTTCTAATGGGGGGGCTCCCTCCCCATTCTCCAGCTGCCATCTGGGCCTCTACCTGCCTCTTGGGGGCGGGGGGAGTCTGGGCCAGGGGAGCTGGTGAGTGACTGCCTGGCTCCTCACCAGAGGGTCTCCGTACACCATCCTCTTCAGGCATCTCTGACTCAGAGCTTGTCTCTTTCTCTCTTCCCCATCCCCAAATGGATTAAAAATCCCAAGGCTGTGAGCACGTCAGTAGCCTGAGCAGCTATTTGGGAGTGGGGTGGGCCCTCTGGGAGGTGGATCAGCCTTAGAGTTGTCCCCACTGGCTGGAGACAGTCTACCTCATTTCAGGGACACATAGGCTTGGTCTGGGAGCAGACACATAGCCTGGGTCCCTTGCCTAGCTCTGCCTGTCGAAGGGTCCCGGGCCTCATGGCTGCAGCTGGCATTGGGTGGGGCCAGGAAGATGGGCCTTCTTAGGCTAGAAGAGCTCTGGGGGACACAGGGGCAGGGAGCACTGAATCTCTACCTCTGTTTACCCAGTTGCTCCCAGGGATGACCGAAGTCCAGCTCTGGACAGCTCCAGGCAGTGGGGGATCCCCAGCAGTCAACCTCATGGAGTCCCTCCTGTTAGTGTACAGGACACCTGAGAAGCCCCCCTTCCTGCCACCTCCCCAATGGCTGGGAATTTCCCAACAGCCAAAGACAAGGAGGAATTGAGAGGCCGCCCCCGCCAATGCTGGGACAATGGAGCCTTATGCCCTCGAAATCAGAGCAGGGGCAGGAAGGCCAAGGGCAGGTGGGGGCCTGGTCGTCTGCACCCAGGGAAGCCCTGCTTGCCAGAACCCCACCCAGAACCGCTGCCAAGCCGGGTACAAGGGGGTCCTGGCCAGAATCCTGCATGGCCCACCCAGGGTGCATCAGGCAGACAATGCCGGCCCCTCAATGGCCCCTCTGTGTAAGGTTCCCTCAGGAGGAAAGGAAGGAACCATCTCCGGTGCCTGCTTCCTGCTGGGCAGGCATCACAACTGGGGGGCATTGGTGCCCCTCCCGCATATCTGGGGCCCAGTGGGGCCCAGACCTGACTGGCGTTGGGCGAGGGGTCCTGTTCTTGTCATCGGCCCTCAGTCCTCGAGGCAGGAAAGGCCTGGGGAACTGGGGGGGAGACAGGGGCTGGGGGGCGTTTATCTCCTTCCGATGCGGCCGCTGCAGCCTCTCATCTCCTGCCAGCACTCGGGGCCAGGGCCTCTAGAAGACTAGCAGGTGTGCGGAGG